GCATGGACCATAAGAGATAAGATAGACAAGTGGAACCTCATTAAACTGACAAGCTTCTGCAAAGCCAAAGAAACCATCAAGAGAGCAGGGAGACAGCCCACAGATTGGGAAAAAGTATTTGCCAACTCAATGTCTGGCCAAGGCCTTACATCTTGGATCTACAAGTAACTCAAACGTGCTGAAAAGAAAAAATAAAACCCCCATTACAAAGTGGACAAAAGATATGAACAGACACTTCTCAAAGGAAGACATTCGAGCAGCCAACAGACACACGATGAAATGTTCAACCTCACTAATCATCAAGGAGATGCAAATCAAAACTACACTGAGATACCACCTAACTCCAGTCAGAATGGCCATTATCAATAACTCAAAAAATAACAGATGCTGGAGAGGATGTGGTGAAAAGGGATCACTTCTACACTTTGGTTGGAGTGTAAACTAGTGCAACCTCTGTGGAAAGCAGTGTGGTGATTACTAAAAGCTCTCAATATCAACCTCCCATATGACCCCATAATCCCCCTACTGGGAATATAACCTGAAGAACTCAAATCACTCTATCAAAAAGACACCCGCATACGTATGTTTATCGCAGCATTGTTCACAATAGCAAGGACCTGGAACCAACCATGCTGTCTATCAAAAGTGCACTGGATTAAAAAAATGTGGTACATATACATGATGGAATACTACACAGCCATAAAAAAGAACAAAATCATGAACTTCGCAGCAACCTGGATGGAACTAGAGTTTATAATACTGAGTGATCTCTCACAGAAACAAAGATCTGAGAATCACATGTTGTCACTCATATAGTGGACCTTGAACATCTATCATAATACTAAAAGTAAAGGACTGACCATAGTGGGAAACTATGAGGGGGTAGGGAGGGGAAGGGAGGTGGGATTAACAGTAGTGAATATCTGTCTGGGGATGGGGAGACACCCCTTATCAACAAGGGTAACTGAATGATACATATTTGTAAACCTAACCCTTAACTGTACTCCACAATTTTAAAATTAAAAATTTTTTAAAAAACTACACTGAGATACCACCTAACTCAAGTCAGGATGGCCATCATCAACAACTCAAAAATCAACAGATGCTGGAAAGGATGTGGTGAAAAGGGAACCCTTCTACACAGTTGTTGGGAGTGTAAACTAGTACAGCCTCTGTGGAAAACAGTTTGGTGATTCCTAAACAATCTAAAAATTGACCTTCCATACAACCCTGCAATTCCCTTACTGGGAATATACCTGGAGGAACTCAAATCATTCTGCAAAAAAGATACCTGCACACTTATGTCTATTGCAGCTTTGTTCACAATAGCATGAACATGGAACCAACCATGCTGCCCATTGAAAGAGGACTGGATAAAAAAATATAGTACATATACACGATGGAATATTTCACAGCCATAAAGATAAACAAAATCGTGAACTTCACAGAAACCTGGATGAACTTAAAGTCTATCATAATGAGCGATCTATCACACAAACAAAGAACTGAGTATCACATGTTCTTACTCATAAGCGAATCTTGAACAATTATCATAACACTATAAGAAAAAGATTGGCAGTGACAGGAAAATACCAGCTGGAGGGCGAGGGTGTGGAATTGGCAGTAGTGGGAATATGCTGGGTGCGGGGCTCACCTCATCAACAAGGGTACCTGCATAATGAACATTTGTATACCTAACCCTTTGTACCCCACATCTTCAAAATAAAAAATTAAAAGTAAATAAATAAATTTGGCTAAAAAATAAAATAGTTTTAAATATTACCTACATGAAACTTCTCATCTAGTGACAACAAAATTCTACAAATAAATATTTAGAAGTAATGACTTTCCATCACCTACCAAGTTATTTAGAAAAATGTTCTGAAATTCTATAAAGGGTTTGAAGGTAAACTGAAATTTATGATTATGATTATTTTATTTTAAAGATGTAGAGTACAATTCAGGGTTAGGTATCCAAATGTTTATTATGCAGGCACCCTTGTTGATGAGGTGTGTCCGCCTCCACTGGCAGTTTCCCACTACTGCCAATCCCTTTCTTATAATTTTACAATAGGTAAACTGAAATTTAAGCTGAGATTAGAACAGTTTGTTTTTATTCACGCCCCAGATATTGAATGTTTACTGTGTCGGTCACTGTTTTGGATGTTGGAGATTTAGCAGCGAGGAAAACGGATACAAATTCTTTTCCTCATGGAGTGGACATGCTTGTGGGAGAGACAGAAAGAACCGCATAGCATATGCAGACTGTAAGGTGATAATAAACCTTTGGAGTATAAGAAACAGTCAGTGTTGGTAAGAGAAGGAGCTGTCATTTTAAGTAGAGTGGTTAGATCATCAAGAACTCAAAAAACAACAGATGCTGGAGAGGATGCAGTGAAAAGAGAACACTCCTACACTGTTGTTGGTAGTGTAAACTAGTACAGCCTCTGTGGAAAATAGTGTGGCTATTCCTAAAAGAATCGACCTTCTATATTACTCCACAATCCCCCTACTGGGAATATACCCAGAAGAACTCAAATCACTCTATAAAAAAGATACATGCACACATATGTTTAGCACAGCATTGTTCACAGTAGCAAGAACATGGAACCAACTGTGCTGCCATCAAAAGGACTAAATGTAAAAAATGTGGTACATATACACGATGGAATATTACACAACCATAAAGGAAGACAAAATCATGAACTTTACAGCAACCAGGATGGACTTAGGGTCTACAATACTGTGTGAAGTATCACAGTAACAAAGAACTGAGTATCACATGTTCTCACCCGTAAGCAGACCTTGAATAGTTATCATAATACTATAAGAAAAGGATTGGCAGTATCAGGAAACTGCTGGGGGGTGGGGGAGGAGGTGGGATTGGCAGTAGTGGGAATCTGCCGGGGGAGGCGGACATACCTCTTCAACAAGGGTACCCGCATAATGAACATTTGTATACCTAACACTGAATTGTACCCCACATCTTTAAAAGAAAAACATTTAAAAAGAAAAAAAAATAAGTGGAATGGTTAGGAAAGGCTTCACTAGCCATGGTGAAGGATCAAGCCATATGGATTCCAAAGAAAAAACATTCTGGGCAAAGGAATTCATAACTAGTTGAAAATAATTACTTATGCCCAGGACCAGACACACAGGGGTCTGCTGAAGTATTGGAGGAAGTAGAAGGTAGAACACTCAGAAGAGTGTGGTGCATAGTAGTGAGGTGAAGTGTGTAACAAGAAAGGAAGGGACAGCCAATGTCAAGTGACAGATCAGGTAAAGTGGTGATTGAGAATGGACCAGTCACGGCCTTGACAAGGGCAGATTCAGTGAAGTGGTGAGGTCAAAAACCTGTTTAGAGAGGGTTCAATAAAAAGAATTAAAGAATAAGAAATAGAGAAGCTGGTACAGGCAACTTTCCAAACAATTCTTCTGTAAAGAGTAACGAAGAAACAGAGAAGTGGAGGGGTGAATGGGGTTATTTGGGACAATTTACCTTTTCTACATCAAGAGTTTTTGCAGTAGTATTTTATTTGTCATAACTTGCATTAAATTACAGAAAAGTTATTGTTTGTTTTTTAAAAATATATGTGGTGTATATACATGTACTGCATCACCTTTTTCCAATGTGAAATTTTCTAATTTCAAAATATGTAAACATTTAGAAATATAGAAAATAATATTTCATATTACTCATTAGCTGGTAAAGAGACTGAGCAAATGGATTTTTGGTAACTGGAAACTGTGAAGATAGACTGAGAACCTTTCACGGCATTTATATGAGAAGGAAAGATAAGACTTGGGGAAGAATTTAGAGGAAGATTCAAAGTGCAGTAGGAGCTGGTGGATGTATAAAATATTTTAGCATTTTTATAGGCTCAGAGGATCAAGGTGCAGAGGATTAGAAGAGGCGGTCAGTGAGCAAGGTCTGAGAGAAAACTGGAAGTGATATTACCAAAAAATACAACCAGAAAAGTTCGATTATTATATGAGGAGGGGCACCTCTTACTTAGACTTTTGAGCAAAAGAGGAAGAGTTCTGAGCAAAAGAGGAAAGATACCTTCATATGTGGATTGAAGAAGAGACAGAAATTAAAGTAGTCTTTACCAACTGCCCTGATAATTAATGAAGGCAGTTGGAGGCAGAAGTAACTCAAGTGGGTAAAATACACAAATAACTTAAATATTATACTCTAACTCTTTACTCTCTCAAATTATAGTTAAAGGGAACAAAGGGACTGATTTATGTTAATGATGGATATGTAGAACAAAGGTATACTTAATAACAAAGTAACTAATTGAGAAACTGTGCAAATTGTCTATAATTACAAGATGACAATATTAATACACTTTTATCAATGTAAAATTCCCATAAAGAAATGTACTTTATCCTACACATCAGTAGATGGCAAATCACTGTGCATTTAAAAATAGCCAGAAGCTATAATCCCAACACTTTGAAAGGCCAAGGCAGGAGGATTGCTTGAGTCCAGGAGTTCAAGACAAGCCTAGGAAACATAGCAAGACCTCATCTCTAAAAAAATATTAAAAATTGCCAGGTGTGGTGGTGTACACCTGTAATTCCAGCTAGTTGGGAGGTTGAGGTGGAAGGATTGCCTGAACCTAGGAAGTCAAGGCTGCCATCAGCCATGATTGTGCCACTGCACTCTAGCACTCTAGCCTGGAGTTGAGACCCCAACTCAAGAAAAAAAAAAAAGGTTATCATATTTCATTTTCATAACTCACTGAAATGTAGATATAATTTCTAATTTATTGAGTGTTCTAATTTATTTGAAGGTATTTTATTTCTGTTTTGGTGATATTTAAAATAATGGTCTGTTTTACAATAATTTTGGTTTCAATTTCATTGAAATGCTCAATATAACATGAATTTCAAAGTGTAGGTTTTGTTTAAAATTCATTTTTTAATTTAATGTCAATTCATGATGCATTACAGTAGCTTAATCCTATATCCATTTATTATTTAGAAATGCTTACCTCTTTATCAATATTTTCATATTCACAAACTCTTTCAATGGAAACTGCATTGGTTTCAATTTCACATGTTTTTCTTACCCAGAAATTCAGAGAATGAGTAATCTAGGGGACATGAGGGAGAAAACGAGTTTAGTGCATGTTTTTAAATCTTTAATTTAATAAATTATATTTTATTTCTATAAAGTTTCATTTTTCAGAGTTGATTATTTAACAACTTTAGACACAAACATATTTCTTCATCTACACACTTGTGAATCTTTAAGTATATTAAATTTTTAATATCACAAATAATGGAATCATTTGGCAGAGGATAGAATGACCATAGTTCAGTATATATGAAATAAGTTGCTACTTTATTATAAGGAAAGATGAATACCAAGATTGATGCTTCAAAAAATGTGCATCTTAAATGAGAAAAAAAAGTAGTGCACAAACACTTTGGCATTCTTTACTAACTTTTATCAGAAGAAAGATGGGGTCTCCTAATCTCCTAATTCTCTCTCTCTCTTTTTTTTTTTTTTTAGTTGGAGCCTCACTCTTGTCATCCAGGCTGGTGTAGTGGCAAGTTCATGGCCACCCCAGCTTTGACCTGCTGGGCTCTGGTAATCTTTCCGCCTCAGCCTTCCAAGTACCCAGAACGGCAGGCGCACACTACCACACCCAGCTAATTTTTTATTTATTGTAGAGAGGCGGTCTCGCCAAGTTTCCCGTGCTGTTCTCGAACCCATAGGCTCAGGCAATCCCTTCACCTCAGCCTCCCAAAGTGCTGGGATTAGAGGCTTGAGTCACCGTGCCCGGTCCCCATTTCCTTTCTCTAAAACTGTGTTTTCTTCTCACCCTATTCTCAAATGTAGGTTCTCCCAAATGATAAGTTCAAACCTAATTCTAAAGGTCAAAAAACTTTGACAATACAGTTTTTTCTTGGGTTTGATGCCAACCCACTTGCTAGTCGACCTGACTTGAACTGATGTAAGTCTCTTTAAAGTGGATGTTTAACCCACTGAGGGTGTGTATTCACATATTTCACTGCAAAAAAAGAGTATTGTTTGCTTATGGGGTGCTTCTCAGGTCCTGCACGAGGCTATGTAGTATATTTCCTTTCTAAAAACCTAAGTTCTGAATTCTGAAATGCAACTGGCCTCAAGATTTTTGGATGAGGAACTTAGGGTACATACCAAGATCATTTAGACTTATCTTTTAAATAATGTGGAACTATATTAAGTAGTTTAGGACATCTGCTGTTTTACAAAAGGGTTGTGCACACACTCATACCACTAGTGCTTGACAGTACAATCTAAAATCGGGCTTTTTAAGGGAAAAATTCACCAGCAGAGGAGAAGCAGCATGTGCACGCTTGCCAGAGCTTGCATTATTTTACTGATAAGGTTGAGCAAATTGGATATATTAGCTGTGGTGAAGAGAGAACCTGCCCTGGCAACACTTGGTAAATCTTTAAGGCTAGGAGAGCAGAAAACTTCTGGGTAACTGTGGAACAGCAGGAGTTTCCTGGTCCTCAAGAACTCACTGTTGAGAATGCCCTGCTCTTCTTATGAGCTAATTTAGAACTGCTGAGCTAGCTTCCTGTGACTACCAAAGCAACGAAAGAAATGAGCCTCCAGGATAATCCAAATTTGTCTCATTACTTAGTTAATATAATCTATAATTCAGACAGCAGAATGGAAGAGTGGTTAATTCACTGGATTGTAACTAAACCACAAAAATCATTGATACTTACATTTAGGGCATAGGATATAGACAAACCAACCATTGCTGAATCTATAGACGTGCCAGCCAGCACAGCAAGCAGTGCAACAAAAAACACCATTAAGTTGCCAAGAAACTCAAGTCTAACTGACAGCCACCTGTGATAAATGGAGGATATTCCTGAGTAACAGAAATGACAAAGTTTTGGTGTACTTACTGATAATTCTCCTCTGGGAAATTGGGAATTAAACATCAGTATTTTCGTCCCACTTACTTGTAACTCATTCAAACATAGTAACAGAGTAGACAGGTTAGCGTAAGAAATGTTCAGGGTTGTAGAAAAATTACAAAATCGCTCCTAAAGCAGCCTAAACCATTAAACCCATATTAGGCAACTCTGCAGCAGCCTTCTCAGGATGCTTGCGGTTGAAAGATGAACTTTTGGGCGAACTCATGGGACACGCACACAATGGAGACAGACTATCAAAGTCAAAGTTTAGACAAGAGTTAGTTAGCCTTATTATGATATTATTAGTATCGAGTCTTACAAAATATCCATCCACCAGGATGCCAGGGCAGTCAGTCCCAGGATGGCCTTATGAGGCTTAAAACTTCCCAGGGCAATGGGAAGAAGAGGTCACAAAAACCACCCCAAAACTAGCCCTCTTGTAACCAAAGGATAAAAGCCACACTCAGCGTCAGATCTGGGCAGCTGCTCTCCCTTAACTGCCTGGTCTGCTCTTTCTCATCATGAGAGTGTACTTTGGTTTTGCTCAATAAGTCACCTGCTTGTCTTACTTTCTGGAGTCCTCATCTGCTTGTAAATTCATTCCCAACAGGGACACAAGAACTTGACTGCGATCAGACCATATACCGCTAACACATTTTGATGACTCCCGGGTAAAGATAGGATTGTCACTTGACGATAGCTTAAAGGATTCCTCTGCATAAAAATAACTACTTTTGCAGAACTTTGCTTTAAAATTTAATCAGAATTTAAAAGCTAAAGAAAAGAAAACTAGCTAAAATGATATTATGCATTTCAAAAATCCAGTTGAAACATTAATTACCTTCTCAATTATATACACTTTTTATATGATAAAATTAATCTCTAAAAATTGAAATATGCCCAACTCTATTTAATTCTTTTTCTCCTTTATGTGAGTAACTTCAAATTCAAAAACATTATAAAATAGTGCATGCAAATAGGATATATTGTAAAATATAAAACAGTGTAAGTCATGTCATGAATAATCCTAACAGCATCATTTATATCAGTCATTAACTTGAAACCTTGCTTTCATATAAAGTAGTATGTACCTTTTATATGAATGTAAGTAGATACAATTGAATTTAAATATATATTAAATACTAGAAGGTATTACTGGCTTAGTAGTATAAATGTTTTAATTAGATGAAATGCCATTACAAAACACATTTTCTGTTTAGAAGTCAGTGAACAAGGTATCTAAGAGACTGGACCAAAGCTAGGTATATTGATGTGATTTACCTGTTTGAAATTACATTATTGTAGTAACAGATTAAGTACTCATTCACCATCTCTTTGTTTTGCTGGATAAACCTCTGTTCATGTCCAAATGCTCTGATAGTGGACACTCCTGATAAAGTCTCACTAAAATGGGAAATGATAGGGGAGTTGCAGGCTCCCACCAACCGCCGAATCTGCCGAGAGCTTGCCATGTAGTATCTCTAATCAGAAAACAGAAAGAGGCATTCTGAAAGATGTAGCAGAAATTACTTCAGTGGTTTAAAAACTGCAACACATGTGTGTAGTGATTCAAAGAACGACCACAAAAAGTTAAGTTCAGGTCCTAACCCCCAGGACTTGTGACCTTATTTGGAAATAAGATTTTTTGCAGATGTCATTAAGCTCAAGATCTCAAGATGAGATCACCTCGAATTTACGGTGGATCCTTAAATCCAGTGCTGGGAGTTCTCTTAAGAGACAGAAAAGAAGACATACAAGGAGAATGCCATGTGCAGCCAGTGGCAGAGCTGGAATAATGTGTTTATACGTCAAGGAAAATGCCAGGGATTGCCAACAGCCACCAGAAGTTAGGAAAGAAGCACAAAACAGATTCTCCTTCAGAGTCTCCAGAAAGAACAAATCCCCTGCCTACATACTAATTTTTTTCTGGCCTCCAAAACTGTGAAAGAATACATTTCTGATGTTTTGAGCCACCCTGTTTGTGATACTTTGTCACAGGAGACTCAGGACACTAATATGCCCTTGTAACACTAAAAAGTCCACTTTGAACTGCTGAGCTGGCTTCCTGCTGCATTCTGGGCAGAACAACTAGAGCATAATTGGGGCAAATTTTCCCTTTGACATGGTTGTCAAATGGCCTTATTGAGTATCTACTGTGGAGAAAGTTCTGCGTCACATGTTGAAAATATGACCAGGCAGTCAATCTCTTAAGTGAGAAAAGCAAACCAAACAATATTTTTATTTTTTATTATTATTTTATTTTATTTTTTCCCAAAACATTTGGTGATTTTTAGTTGTTTTTTTATTTTTCTTTTTTTTAATCAATATTTTTTATTATGATATTGTGGGGTACAGTTAAGGGTTAGGTATACAAATATGCTTCATTCAGTCACCCTTGTTGATAAGAGGTGTTTCCCCATCCCCAGACAGATATTTACTACCATTAATCCCATCTTCCTTCTAATATTTTAGTACTTAAACATAATTACAAAAAAGTTAGGTTTTTTTCCTCTATAAAAAGCACCAGCACAGGCACAATTACAAAGTTGGCTACTCCTCTTAGACCCAGGTTGAGGATAATTAGAATGGATGGAGATTGTGGAGAGCTAGAGGGTACATGCCTTAAATTAACTGGACCATAATTAATTAGCCCTCCAAATGGCTACCAACTGGAAACAAAAGTCAAGATCACTAGATCTTGTAAATTTTTTAGAAAAATCTTCAGATCTAAAATTTTATGCAAAACTCCTAACAAACAAAAACATAGCTGAAGTTACATACCATTCGCTGTTTATGAGCTCTACCCTGTGTTAAGTGCCTTGGAGAATACAAAAGGTTATGGCATTCAGAGGCTGCAGAGGGGCTTAAGAGATTGTCTAGATTGGGGAATATGTTTTTGTGTTACAGACCCTCTGAATAGTTGATTAAGGGCAAAACACTTTTTTCTAGACAAATGTACATATGCATACACACTCAGACTGATAGCCTGCCTGCAGCATCGCTGAGGTCACTACTGTGTCACCATGGAGGCCACTTTTTCCATGAGTAACACCCAGTGACTGAACATGGCAAGGAGTGGTAAAGCAGCCTCATTCTGGAGACATGTGGGACACTCACATGGGCAACTTGGAGGAATTCCTCTTGGTTTACCTGAACCTGTTATGGAACTGCTCTGTAGTCCAAGACCTTTCTACCCAATCCTTCCTTCTTTTTTTTCTTTGCAGTGATCAGACTTGCATCCCTGCCTGAGGGCTTGCTCAGCCCAGACTTCTCTCACTCCCTCCTTTATCTTTTACAAGCATTTCCCCCAGTGAATCTCTAGTCTATGTAATCTTTCTGGGGCACTGTTTCTTGAAAATGAGGATAAACAGGAGATTTAAGTGGGTCTGAAACTCTGTTTGACTATAGACTTATAAGTTGTAATACAAATTCAAATGTAAATACTTACTTGTATTGAGAAGTAGAAGAAAACCAGAGGAATAATTCCCAGAATGAAGTTTGGTATAGCTCTCACAATGATCAAAACTGTTCCGATAACATCCAAAGTACAGTTCAACCACATCCGTAAATAGTAATGGAAATGCATATCAATTATTAACATGTCCTGAAAAATTTGATATCAGGTCATTTTATTTTTAATCTTCATGGTTTTGAATGAGGGGAAGAAGAAATATATGATTCAGTGGGAAAATAAAAAAACAAAACAAAATTGTTTACCTAGGTATGACAATCTGATGATTAAATAAGTTTAGCTACATAATCTTTGCCCATCTTTTTATATTTTTCTCCTGTAGCCAACTATAAAAATTAAAAAATTGTTCTGGTAAAAAGATGCCTATGATCAAGCAATTTATATTTTTTCAATAGCTACCTGCATCTACAATAATTAATTATACAACTAAAGTCAGACCCTGTTAAGGAAAAAAAAAAAAAAAGTCCAAAATCCAATAGCTTTATTTTCAAAATCCAGTATTTGGGGTCTTCATCTATGACTATTTACTATTCAAAAATTTTTAAAATCTCTCCTGGGGCAATGTTATCATCTAAGAACATGTCCAGTGGCCTTCTTGGGTTGGTGGTTCCTACACATATCAGACCAGGCAAGAAAGCAAAATAATCTTAATTTACGAAATTAGAAACTGAAAGGTGAGGTGGAAAATAGGAATGAGAGAAGGACAATAGGAAGGTCATGTGTTAATTCACACTTTGCTGCATATAACAACTTAATTAGGTCTATATTGGTGGTAAAACGTTTGACCTAAGAGATCCCAGGGAATACAAAAACACCTTGAATGGAGGAACTACTCAGTTCAGGACAAAACTGACACAGAGTAGAAATGAAATTTTATTAATTCCGTTTTGTGTTGGGATTTCCCTGATTATCTCACATACCAAATAGTGTAGTAATATCACTTACTTTTGCAATTTCCTACCTATCTGTAGAATTTGCCTTCCCATACTCCCATCTGCTTGAGACCCAGTCATATGAAATTTTACTGTATAAAAATGATAATTATTCATTAGGGTCTAGTAAGAAATCTCCACTGGGAGAGATAGAATGTTGTTCAAATTCTTCTATAAGTTTTCAAAGAACAGTATATACATTGATATAATTAAGCAAAATTTAATATCCCATCAAAAATTGACCATACTAGGTACTTTTATTTGTATTTTCATGTTGTATCTTCCCCTCATGCACAATTTTTTTTACATATACATGTAGATGTATTAATATACTTTAAGGTTTTAGACTTGCACTTTCTAATATAGGAAACATTAGCAGTATGAGGTTATGGAACAGTTGAAATGTGACTACTGCAAATTGAGGTGTGCTATAAGTATATAATAAAAATCAAATTTCAAAGACTTGGTACTAAAAAAGCATAAATATTTAATTAATAATTTTATATTGATTACAGTTTGGAATTATGCTTTGGATATACATGGTTAAATAAAATATATTATTATAATTCATCATTTCAACTGTTTTTTTTTACTTTGTATGGTGATTATCAGAAAATCTAACATTACACATGTGGTTTGCATTATATCTCTATTGGTTCTTGCAATTATAAGCACTTAATAGTAGGCACAGCCAGGCTCGGTGGCTCAGCCTGTAATCCCGCGCCTTTGGGAGGCTGAGGTGAGTGGATTGCCTGAGCCCACGGGTTCGAGACCCGCCTGAGCAGCGAGACCTCATCTCTATAATAAATCAAAAAATCAGCCGGGCGTGGTAGCACACGCCTGTAATTCCGGCTACTCGGAAGGCTGAGGCGGAAGGATTGCTGGAGGCCAGCAGGTCGAGGCTGCGGTGACCGGGAGCGGCCACTGCACTCCAGTCTGGGCGACAGAGTGAGACTCCAACTCAAAAAAAAAAAAAAAGGAAGGCACAATGGGAAAATCCCCACAGATAAGCAGAGACACTCTGGAAACCTCCACCCAGCCCCTATTTGTTATAAGGGAGTTCTTATGTTTTCTTAAAGACAGAATGTTTTCAAAGTCCAGCCATCGTCATACAGATTTGCATTTTCTTTCCCTTGTCTTAAACCAGTGATTCTCAAACTCAAAGTGTATGAGGGCTAGAATTGTAGATATCAAAGCACATGTTCTTTTGAATTCTTTAAGTAACTTTTCAAAGTTTATTTTAAGTATATGTGTAAAATGTAAATCTGTTATACATCAGTTATAAATATGCTGAGGTTTAGTAATATATTTAACAATGAAATCTATACTTACACGATATTTTGTACAAATACAATTATAAGACACTAAATATGGGTCACCGCTTTTAGGTATGCTATTTAATAAGATATGTCTTTCCTTACCTTGGTGAACCGACTGATGATCCGGCCTATGGAATTGGTTTCAAAATACTGAAGTGGGAGGTGCAGCACATTATTCAACAGCTGAGTATACAAAGTTCGAGAGGCAGCCAGGGATCCTCTGGTGATTACATAGGCTCCCGAGCAAACAAAGAGACCTAAACACACATTATTATTAGAGTTATATAAACATCATAAAGGAATTTTGTGTTCCAACTGTCCAGAGGTTGCTTGTAATAGTATTTTAAAACTGAAAACCCAAATATCATACCTAAGATGTTGTTGAACAAACTAAATATAAATGTATATGGAACATTTAAAACAAATAGACGCTTTGATGGTTTGTCATGCTGCCAGAGCATAGTACTCATTCATGGATTTGACGAAAACGCCCAGATGATGAAACACCAATCTAGTTCACAAAATTTTATTTTATTTTATCTTTTTGAGTTGGGAGTCTCACTCTCTTGCTCAGGTTGTGGAGTTTATTGGCATGATCACAGCTCACCACAGCCTCCCACTCCTGGGTCCAGGCAATTCTCCCACTTCAGCTTCCTGAGCAGTTGGGACTACAGGTGCATGCCACCGTGCCTAATTTTTAAAATTTTTTCTAGAGATGAGGTCTCACTTTGCTCTGGCTGGTCTCGAACTCTTGGGCTCAAGCAATCCTCCCACCTCAGTCTTCCAAAGTACTTGGATTACAAGTGTAAGCCACCACACCTGGCTTGGTTCACAAAATTTTAGCAACCTGTTTTCTTTATGATGTTCTGTGGGACAATGTGTAAGTTACTTATGCTTTTAGCCAAATAGTTCCAGTTCTCTTGGCTTCTGGGTACATAATATAAATAGTTGAATTTTCTGGCCCCTTACAGATAGGTCCAAATGAACATAGCTCTGAACAATGAATTATGAAAGAAATGACACCTAGAGCTTCCAGGTTAGAGCATTTAATTGTTGGTGTCAGTTCTATTGCCTTTGCACAGTGCCTGCCAGCAGTTAAAATGGTGTTGAATTGCTCCTTTAACTTGAGTCCCTTTCCTGACCCACAGTGGACACAGGGTATGAGTGAGGAATAAATTTCTTTTTTTTTTTTTGAGGTGGAGTCTCACTCTGTCACCCAGACTGGAGTGCAGTGGCCGCTCCCGGCCACCGCAGCCTCGACCTGCTGGGCTCCAGCGATCCTTCCACCTCAGCCTTCCAAGTAGCCGGAATTACAGGCATGCGCTACCACACCCAGCTGATTTTTTGATTTATTGTAGAGATGAGGTCTCGCTGCCCAGGAGGGTCTTGAACCCGCGGGCTCAGGCAATCCACTCACCACAGCCTCCCAAAGGCGCGGGATTACAGGTTGAGCCTCCGAGCCCGGCTGACAGGAATAAATTTCTCATGGTGTGTTAAGCTACTGGAATTTGGTTGGTGGAAGGATTGCAATTGTAATAACTAAAAAAGCTATATATGTGTGTGTGTGTATACATTATGTATACACACACATACATAGTAAACTTGTAGCTTTAATGGAAGAGGTTGAAAAATAATTATTAGCTACATTTGGAAATATAAAAACAAAGAGACCAGCTCAAAAAAGAGCTTTCCCGTATATGAGAAGAAACGGAAGGGGAAAGAGTCCCCAAATTGGGAAACTTGTAGGGCTAGAAAAATAAAAATGTTTTGTTTCAATGATTGACTCAAGAATAGATAAGTGACCCAAATTGATACAAGCAGAGAAATTCATGGACTTCTATGAAAAAAAGATGTTTGAAAGATATGTGTCCATCACCCTATGAAGCCTGAGAATGAAACCAGCCAGGAAAACAAGAAGATCTGATAAATTAAGAGAGTTGTGGACACTTTAGTTGAAACTCTGGATCAAATGTGTTTAAGGATTTATGCCTAGGATTTTCAGTTTTAAGTGTCAATCAATTTCCATGTTATTTAAGCCAGTTTGTTCTTTGAGTCTTAACAGATACACAATTGCTTTAATGCAATCTAATATACAAAATTGCTAGTAAGAGTGTTGCCAATATAATCCTGGTTTTTAAAAATAGGTATGTTTAAAACAAAACAAATTTAGTTGACCTTTGCTACCTTAAACTCCTTTAGCTAATTTATATTTTGAAATAATAACACATACTGTCAACTAGCGTTCTCAGACTTAAATATTTTCTGCTATTTTCCTCCATTTCTTCCCTATTCTTTCCTCTTCACCTTCCAAAGATAGGTAATTCTTTTTTCTCAAATAAATATTTAGTGCTTACATCACTACTAAACACATATTATCCAAGAAGTTCACTAAATTTATAATGCTCGTGCCACTATTTTTCTATATGCTTAGTTTTCTATGTAACCAGCATTAATTTATTCCCCACACTACAAAAGTCAGCAAATCTCTTCTGAATATGTTCAGACTCATAAAATATCCTATTTTTGTTTCTTCCTATTTGGCCCTTTCCTTCTGCAACACAAACTACCCTCTTGGTACTCTCTGTCTTTCTTCTTTAAACTAGAATGGTTGTTGGAACAGTTATTTGTATTCTTTAGTTATGGGAAGTGTTTTTTAAATATTGTGTACTTAATAATTTTTCACCTACTGAAGCTCTTTTTTATGTGAATGTTGAGCTTCTTAAAGTGGTTCTCTAATTATTTTTAATCTATCATTTTCCATCTCTGTTTTTGATGTTATACATTTGGCATAACTTCTTCTAATTTATCTTTTTACACTTGTACAATCTATTAAAATTCTTTAATTAAAAAAACTTTCTAATTCTCAGACAACTTATATCAGCACATTCTCCACCTAACTTTATGGATCCAATATTTTGAATCCCTAAAGACACTAATTAAACTTTTAAAGGTTTATTTGTATTCCAAATATTACTGTTTTACTTCTGGAATCGACTGCTGACTTTATTATTTATACTTTTGATTTGATTAAAATGTCTGACCATCCACTATCAGTTCAAAAATATGAGAGAAAGACATGGTTAACTAATATAGGTACCTGACGGGACTTTCTCCTGCCATCACATACATTAATTTCTCCCCAATTTTTTTCTCCCCTGAATGGAAGGGTTTGCTTCAAGTTCCACTTTAGTAAGTAAGTTTGACCCTGGAAGTCTTTGTATCAGGATTCTGACATGTAGGCTGAGGCTTTTTGTAAAAGTCACAGTTAAGAGACTTTCTTCCATACATGTTACACATGCTAGAAATTCTAATTTTCTCTTTAAACATCAGCTTTCCTGTTTTTATTGTACCACTACTATGTCAACAGCTATATATATTGATGGTGGTGGGCGGTGTTCTAGGTGAGGCTAGCAGGCCAGCAGAACAATGCTCTAGTGAATTACTTTGATGTCCTCCAATCAAATCTGCTCGCTGTAACTCAAATCTGCTCGCTGTACCTGTGACCATAAATTCAATGTTTTTCCATGGCTCAACTAAATGTCTCCCTCTTCTGTTCTAGCTTCTCCAGTATCTGTTCCTGCCTAACAGATTTTCTTTTACCTTTGATTTCCTATTAATATAATTTTATATACACAAATTTATCACTCTAAAATCCCCGGCACCATTCCTTTTATATTTATTCACTGTTATTTCAGTGACATTTAGGAAGGTAAGTAAATAATCCATAACCATCTTAAACTGGAAGCAGCGGTGCCCTTCCTTAAACATTACACTTTGAAAATAAGGTGCCTATAGTTTACCCATTGGATTGAAGAAAGTTCCTAATAGTGAGAAATAAAAACAAAACAAAATAAAAAATAGATTAGGAATGTGTCAAGTGTCCTAGAGATTTGGGAAGCAGATAGTTTAAACTCAAGAAAAAAAATGTTCAGGGTTATTTCTTTTTTTAACAAATGAGGTAAGATCTTTATTATTGTCATAAAATAAAGCTGTAGCATTTTCTGCTTCAGCACTCCAGTTTTGTTTGCATGTTTAGCCTTCTATATTATTCACAGTGGGCCTGTAGTATTATCATGTGAAAATGCTGCACAAGCTTCATTTTATTTTTTTACATTACTTTCATGATATGTTTAAGCTTTAAAGTTCTCCCCCAAAAAACGTGAACTGTGATGATGTCATTGAATACAACTTGCCCTCCATTGTATCAGGTTCCATATGATGTAGTTGTGTTCTCTTGACAAAATTAGAAATTTTAGATCTTCATTTATCAGGCTCACCTTACTTATGGGAATGTAATTTATAATTGAAGTTAATAAGTCTTAAGAAAAATTTAAATTTTTTAAATATAAAACATTTAAAGTGATGAAGTGATAAATTAGAGAAGATTTATACTCCTAATGACTGAAGACCATTCTAGACCTAAACCTAATCATAAAAGAAAGTCTTTATGATAAAATGGTGTATAATCTGTTTCTTTGGTACAAAATACTTCGTATATTTATTGACAGTTAATTAAAATTAAGATTGTATACATAATATTATGGACCATAAACTTTCATACTTTATATATTATAGAAAATGATCTTTGCTTCTCTGAAATGTTCTTCAAAGTTTATTAAATCTACTCTAAAACTGTCACATAAATTCACAGAGTTGAAGTTGGTATGAATTTAACTTTCAAATGTATATGTGATATATGTAAAGATATTCACGTACACATGGAAGTTTCTATTGTTATATCTACTTTTGCTCATTGAGTTACAAACTGCAAGTCAATAAACTTGACTCTAACTGATTAGAAACCTAACAGATTGTAAAGTCCTCTTCTTCCATACTGTAGATAATCTTTATATCTCATTTTAGTATTAGCATCTTTTTCCCAATGAATGTTGTTAACAAGATGACAGAGCAAACATAAATCTGTCTCAAATATCTGCCTATTTTCTGATGAAGAGTTGTAATCAGTACTATGACCAGACAATAAAAATAAGATGGGAGAGGTAAAAAGAGAAGCAAAGTTCTAATTAAGTGCCATAGCTTTTATCTTCTTTTAACTTTCTGTTACTAAATGCATGTATCTCTTTCTGTATTCTTTTATGAATCTCTTTATATATAACAACTTCTACATCGTTGGCTCTATTTAAATTTGAATTGTGTTATTCTCAAGTTGCCTTTCTTTCTTCATACAAACACAACAAATTACCTCTGTTTTAAACATCTTCCCTTTAATTGTACTATACTTTTGAATATTCTCAAACAACTATTTAATTACCTATGATTATTTTCCTACTTCTTTCTTGATGATGTTTCCTTGATTCTAATCAGGGATCATGTCTTATTTTTCTTTCTCCTTAACATATCTGCAGCATTTCAGAACCATTGAGAACTTTCTTGAAACACTACCTTTTTTTAACCGTTCTTTTGTTATATCATACTTTTCAGGTTCATTTGGAAAGCAATGTGTCATATTGTGGAGTTTCCCAAAGTATATATTGTAGAACATAAGTTACTCCAAGATGTTAAAGGGAAACTTGAGAAAAAATTTCATGGTCAAATAGATTTGAGAAATATTGGGTTAAACAGGTCATTTTATTGTAGAATATCTCAAAACTTTTAATGAAGAAGAGAAAAAAGATTTCAGACTTGTGGAAGAATATAGTTTTCAATTTTCCAAACCTATTGAAAAGGACCCCAATGCTTGTGGAGCATTACTATTCATGTAAAATCCTTTAAAAATGTTAATTTAGTGGTTAAAAAATGGGCTTGAGAGTCAGGTAGACATGAATTCAAATCCTGACTCCAAAACGTAGTAGTTATAAGACTTTGATTATATTACTTATGATTTCCATTGTTAAACAATAGCTAATGTCTATGGCACTCTTTCCCTATGCTCAGAACTTTTCTATATATGCTACATGTGCTACCTAATTTAATCACTGGAACAATGTATCTTACAAGTGATAAAATTGAAAGCTTAAGTAACATGCCCAAGTTTAAGGGGTCTCCCATTTGGACAGATGTTAAATGAATTATGTTAGCTTAAACTATATGAAATTGCTATTTTTGTGGATCAGAGAAGTTCAAGCACAGGCAATTTCATTAGGTTCAAACTCAATAACTAAAACAATTTGGACTGGGCAAGGTGTCTCATGTCTGTGATTCCAGCACTTTGGGTGGCTGAATTGTGAGGATTGCTTGAACCCAGGAGTTTGAGAACCCAGACTAGGCAACATAGTGAGACTGTTTCTACAAAAATAAAAATGATAAAACAGCCCGGTGGAGTACTGTGTGCTTGTAGTCCCAGCTACTCAGGAACCTGAGGCAGAAGGATCACCTGAGCCTAGGAGTTTGCGACTGTAGAGAGCCGTGATCGTGCCACTGCACTCCAGCCTGGGTGATGTGATTGTGCCACTGCACTCTACCCTGACTCAAAAACAAAACAAAACAAAAAAATAAATCATTTTGGAATTCCAGGCATGGAGGAGGCATCCACATTATTGCAATTGTTTTCTCTCTTTCTCTCCCTCTCTATTCAAATTCTGTGAAACCAGTCCCCCAGTCAGCTCTATGTGGGCATTCCTCAAGAAACTGTCATTCACTTTATGGTCCTTAATCCTCATTCATTGTGATCACAACTACTCCTTTGGCTTCATTTATTATCTCTATAGAATGATTCCAAGTCTAAGCAGAACAACTGAGCCATAGAATACTAGACCTTGGAGGAAATACAGAAGTTGTCTAGTCTAAGCCCCTCATTTTACAGATAAAGAAACCTGCTTTCAAAATTTTCAGATGTGCATTTTAGTCTAAGTATTGGAGAAAAAAAGTGGAAAAATGCATCAGCACTTCCCATTAAACGTGTCGCAATTGAATTCAGCATCTCTCTGCTCCAGCAATGATAGCTTCCTCCAGGTTTCCTTATTATTGTCATATTGCTCCCTCAGTTACCAACTTAAACTTCAAAATCATGACAGATGAATGTCTTCTGCTTATTTTCAAATAAGCAGTTCTTACATGTTTTCACTGCAACGTCTTTCCTATCTGTCCCTTTAATCTAAACCTATTGTAGCTTTCTGACCATTCTTTCATCAGATATTTATTCAATTCTCTTCTGCTTCTTATTCATTGGTTATTATGGGCGACACAGACATGGATCAGATAAGAAGTTTTTCTATACTAGATTAACTCCCAACTAGACTTCTGGATACACTTGATTATTCTTTCCCTATCAACTCCAACTTCTCCTGGGTTCCTCTAATGCTAGTTCCTCTAATAAAAATCCATCTTTTAAAAAATCATTACTGCTACTTTATTCTTTCTCTAAAATATAGCTCCAACTATGTGACTTCCTTCCTTGATGCCCTAAAGTTTTCTATTTGCCTTTCCAACCACCATCTGCAATATCTCCAAACGACCTTCTCACTGTTCTACCAATAAACTTGAAGACCACTCAAACTGGCATCCCTACTCTTGCCTAAATCCCTTATTACTTTCCCCTTCCCTGCCTTTACTCACACCTACCTGTTTAGCTCTGTTACATTTTCTCCTTCTCTGTGATCACAATAGGACAAAATTCTATTCATCTTTTTAGTGCCACCTCAAATTCCAAATATTCCTTAGAAATCACATTAATACCTCAACCAAATATTGCCTTCCCCCACTCTAAAGTTTCACAGTTTTTTCTTTTGCTGTCATTATAACACTAATTGCTTACCATGTAGTTTGATTGTACACCTGAAATAAGCTCACTGGGCTTCACCTAGTTAACAGATTCACTTATTGATCTTCACACCACTTACAAGCCTCATATGTATAGAAAGTGATCACGTAGTCAGGACTTTTGACTCTTTCGTGACTTAACATATAAGCCTCAGTTTCCTCAGCTATCAAATGGGGAAAACTTCATCTTTTAAAATAATCATTGTCAAGTTAAATAAGATAAATACATAAATCATTTAATATAGGCCATGTAGCTGACACCTAGAAGTTTTGGTTTACATTCTCAAATATGGTAAATTGAATACATATACATTTGTATTATCTCCAAATATTTGAAAAGCATGGCATAAATTTTATTTGAAATAACATGATGCCATATGTTTGTGTTTGAATCAATTAGGTAAGAAACAGAAAAAAAGATGCAGATAGATTTTTTTTTACCTTTTATTAATCCCAATAATCCATAGATACTAAGTTTACTGCTTTGTATTTTCTTCCATTCTGTGAGCTTATTCATGTGTTTCGCTTCTTTTGCCCAGTTGCTAAGCCATAGATTCTGTCCAATGCTCACCAAATTCTGCCCTAAGTAGGTGGCTAAAACCAGGCATACCCAGAGCCAGCCAAAGGCCTGGAGGTACTTCAGAATGATTGACAACAACTAAAGGCAAAATTGATATAACATTAGGTTATTGAGAAATATCAGAATGTGGCATGCCATTTTTGAATGAGTTTCATTACTGATAGTTTCTGATTAGCCTCAGTTAAATAAATGGTATGATATAGTACTTCAAAGCTGTACCTTAAAGTCAAATAAGCTAGATTTAAATCTTATTCTGACATTTCCTAAGCTTTGTGAACTTGGTCAGGTCAATAACATCTCTAATTCTCAAATAAGTCATCCATAAATAATCATAATAGCCACCTTATAAATGCATGTAAAGTGTCAGCCACAGTACTGGGCACTTAAAGTTTCAATTAATGTTAGTTAATATTAATAAAAAGGAATATACATAACTGACAGGTAATTATAACTAAGCACCACTACAATATCCAACCATTCTATTTTAATTTTTTAAAACTGTTATATAGCAACTCTTCTCAAATTAAATGATAAATTGATAGTATTTACTAATAATGCAAGGTATTCTTTTATATTCGGGTAGTTAATAACAAATAACATTAGTTCTTCTGTGCTTACCCCACCAAAGGGAATTTTTTCTTTTTTCATTGAGAACTGTTTTCCTTGATCCAATGAGGACCTGATAAAATAAGACAAACTCTACTTTTTAGATTTTAGATGAAGACAACATTTTTAAAAGAGTTATACATTCTTAACCATTTCATTGCATATTCCTCTATTCCTTACCTTAACAGCAATCTGATTTTCTCTGATGATAATATTGCTCCTTTAGTCTTATCAAAAGGAAACATATCACACCTAATTTAGGGCCCAAGCGTGTTGTCTGATATTTATTTCACTGCCTCTGTATCTTTATATATTTATCTTTAAACTTCATATATTTATCTTTATATATTTATCTTTAAACTTTAAATAATTATCTTTAAACTTCAGTCAAGTCCCTGGATCACTTCAGCTAATGTCATTTGGCTGTTCCATTCACTATCCTCCTTTGCTCACTTCTTGGCATAGACTAGCATCTACTCACTTCTTGGTTATATCAGAAGACTAGCATAAGGGTTGCTCTACCTACTTTGTCCTGTCACTATCCTGGATAATGTCATAGCTTCCATCGATAGCTGCATTAAACTCAATCTCTCTCCAACTTTATGTCCTTCACACTCCCATAGTCTTTTATCTGCTTTCTACTTTGGTCATTAACTTTTATAACCTTAAACCATGAATCTTATTACCTAGAACTAACCCACCTCTGAAAATCCAACTCTAGATATTTCAATATCTGGCCATTATATCTTCTTTTTTGACATTGTACATTAAAAAACACTTATTATATTTGGTTTTTTTCCCAAATCCAACTTTCAACCATCTTTGACCTTATGTATGCTGGTTTACCTGGGGTATTCCTGGTTTTAGCATTGACTGGCTCACATTCTGGGAAACTACTCTGCCCTAGGCAAGCATGCATGCTTTTTGTATTTTGTTCAGTATTCCCATTTCATCCAAACTGTGGTGATATTCTGAACCTCCATACCCTTCTTTCTTCTCTGCTAGACCTCATGTGTCAGTCCTGGTTACACCTACTTCTGTGGAGTACTGCTACAAAAACTCATGCGGCTCTGCCTAAAAATTGGTTCTATGATAAATATCTTCCTTCCATCTGGGTTCTTAATAGTGCCTATAAGTCCTAACATCACCCTCAGAAGGCGACCCATATCCTACTTCATGGAGAAAACAGAAGCTAATGGGCAGGGCAGTCACTCAACCTATGCATTTATGTGCATTTCCACCCATAACTGACAGATAATTCTAACTTGAATTTCTCTGTTGATAATATTGCTCCTTTGGTCCTATCAAAAGGAGTCATATCACACTTAATTTAAGGCCAGGGCATGTTGTCTGATATTTCACAGCCTCTTCTAAATAATTATCTTCACACTTCACCCAACCTTTTCCAATTTTCTCTTGTAACAAACACAAGTGGTTAACAATATAGGTTACATGGTTTCGCCTCTAAAAATCTGTCTTCTAAACAGATCCAAGGGATTTTTATCTTAAGGTAAGTCTGAAAAACACTGAATTTTCCTCTCTTCTAATCTTCACTTTCTTCCATTCTACTGACCCCTTTTCATCAGCCCACAGAAAACACATTCTTCTCATTTTAAAACTATTACCAAAGAAAAAGAAACCCCACTCTCAACTCTACGTCCCCTTTCAAAATGTTTCTCATCTTCCTTTTGTAGCCAAAGATTTTTCTGTCAAACCAGCTTCTTCTTAAACTTTCTGGTGTATGACTGAAACTGTTTTCATCAAGAGTGCTAATAAACTACTTATTGCTGTATCCATTAGCTACTTTGAAAATTATTTCACTTGAACTCTTCATCACACTCAACATTGTTGACCAACAACTTGTTTAAGGAACTCTTCCTTTCACTTAAATTTTTACCACCATGCTTTTGTATTTCCTCCTACTTCTTTGTCTCTCCATTATTTTCTCTTTATATTTCTCTTTGGCTCAGTTCTAGTAACTATCTCCTTGGTACAATGCATACTCTTCCAAACAATTTCATCCACTTCTATAGGTTCAATAAACCTTCTTTGTCAATGACCTTTCAAATTGGTATCACTAACCTATATCTTTTACCTGAGCTCCAGTTCCATGTGCCAAATGCCTACTTGACATCTACTTTATCTTGTTTCATACACAGCTTAGATGGAAACAGTTATTTTCCTATCTCTGTTAACATTTTCTCTGGCTTTGCAAAGAACCACAATTCCTCTGACCCGCTCGTGATACATTTCCCATCAAAAGTCAATCACTTGTCAGTTCCATCTTTTAAATATCTCTGGAATTACATCATTGAATAAATATTTGGAAAAATACAAAACAGCATGAAGAAGAGGGAGTAAAAAGGAGGAGGAGAATGAGGAAGAGATGGAAAGACAGAAGAGGAAAGGAAGGGAAAAGATTTACAGTCCTATGTTTCAGAGATAATTTGTGCTAACATTCTTTTGAATATTGCTGCAGTATTTGTGAGGTATGATTATATGTAACCAGTTCATAATTTTTTAAAATCTTTGTAACTCAATAGATAATGAACATCAAATATTCACAATCTTTGTAACTCAATACACAATCTTTGTAACTCAATAGATAATGAACATCAAATATTCTTCTATAACAGCATTGTATTTTATAACATAATATTTTATTATTTTTTATCACAATATAATATATTTAATAAAGTTAGTACTTATACTGGTTGCAGTTTCTCTCCCACTTTAATATTGCTGTAGTGACCATTCTTTTTACATATTTCTCATTGTTTCTTATAATAATTTCCCATACACAGTAGTATGGGGTGTGATAAACTGTAAGTCATTTGATATATCTACTATCAAGCTGACCCATTTGACATATCTACTATCAAACTGATGTACACACCTATAAACAGATTATGAGAAACCCCCACTTATCCATGGTTTTTATTTTACATATCAGAATAAGAAATTACTTAATCACCCTGGCAGTTCTTCCTCTCCTATCTCTGGCACTACCATTAAAACATATTCTGTGAGAGATTGCAGTAAATGTTCTTTGTAAAATAAGTTTCAGCATTAGAGAAAGTTCCATCATTTAACAGATATTTTCATTGGAATAACTCCTGGTCTATTATTTGGGTTAATTACTGTCATCATCTTTCAAGCCCTTGGCATGGCTTCTGTTTGGACAAGCAAATTTAGCATTGGTCTCAAGCCAAAAAATTAATTCTTAATGTAGCTGGACATAAAATGTTATGAAATCCTACTGTTAAAGGGGAATTAATACCTCTAATTAGACATAACCAACAAAGACCAATAATTTATTGGAAACAATACAGAAAAGTATTTTTGTTTTCAAACTAAAATGTTATTCATTTTTTTCACACAAGTTCTGCATTTGTCTGGCACTTTGTTGTGAATAACAGGTTTTATTTGAGCAATTTAAAAGAGCAAATTATTTTATGTTGGGAGGGAAGTTTTAAAGATGAATCTTGTCCTGTCCTTCAAAACTCTTAGAAAAACTGGTATAATACCTCTACATATTTTCATATCAAAGATAAAAAATTAACATAATGAAGCCATTATCTCTGAGCTCAGTCACAAGCACAAAGTGCAGAGAATCTATGGAAGCATTAAATCGATTAAGAAGTCTGGCATGAAAGCTTGAAGGGGGTAGTCTAGATACTAAAATAACATTTCCAGTTTATTTCATTCAAAGAAGATAGGAATAAGAATTTAAGAAAATAGTGACTAGGCATCATATATAAATAAAATGCAAAATCAGTTCAAAATATTCTAGTCTTTGTTACAAAAGTAAACTATTGTCATTAATTCTAATTCCTAAATTTTGAAAGAATAAAATTTCAGAAATTATTTGGTCCAATCCTTTTCCTTTTTACCTAACTCCTGACAGATAGTTATCTGGTTTTCCCATAAATTCTTCCAAGAGAAAGACTTACTGTATCCAATCTCAGTATATTCCATGATAGAGAGGCTATAATTATTGAAGAGTTCCTGCCTGCTTGCATCTTCCAATCCTTAGTATAGCTTAATTTTACATTAATTGAAAATACTTGAGTAATTCTTAGAAACAGAAAATTAGGTTGAATAGTCAGGAAAATTCCCTCCATATAATATTTTCTTACCAAATAGTAAAGCAGATAAAAACTGAAAATGAGAATAGAAAATAGTATAGAAAGTAATAAAGTAGGGTAGCCAAATGATTTTAAAAACTTAAAATAAGTCACTCAAACATGAAATAAAAAGATTTGTTCACTTACCTCAAATTTCTTATTTGAAAAATTTACTACACTCCTTAAAAACTAAGCTTGACTCTGGGTTGTGGGTTGTGTTGAAAAGAACATGACACATGACATATTGAGGGGCTCTTCCTAATGTATTCTTTTCCATTTTTTTAAAAAAAGAAACTAGAGCCTTTCTATGTGGCCCAGGCTGCTCTCAAATTCCTTTGCTCAGGGGATCCTCTCGCCTCAGCCTTCAGGGTAGCAGGGACTACTGTTATGCGCATTCTTCATTTGATCTGCTGCAACTTAAAAATCTTTTTAAAAAAATTCTGTAAATGAACTTTTACAGGTACCAGGGTTCTTTTTTTAGGAGAGAGAAAGAGAGAGAAAAAAAAGAACATTTTCCCAAAAGTTGTTTGCAGAAACTTCAAGTATTTCAATTTAGGTATTATATTAACAGCTATTTTATAAATAAGGAAAATGAATGTATTGTCGAGGAAAGGAAACGATTAAGTGTACCACAATACTTACTGGTTTTTACATTTTAGTCTTTTATCAAGCTACTTAGTGCATAGTGATACTATACATAGGTAAATCTATGATTTAAAGATGTGTATACCCCATTGTAAATACATTTCAAAGTATGTTTCTGTGCTTCTGGATTAGTTTTTCTTGGAGATACTTAAAAAATGATACTCATCTAAATAAAAGATATTAACTTACTGTGGCCAAAAAATAAAATAAATGATGGATTAGAAGACTTTTGATTTTTTTCAGTCTTTAGCTATTCATTCATTCATTTGATAAATATTTACTTAACATTGATTTATGTGTCATTCGGTGTTCTAGTTGGTGGCAATAGAACATTGAACTAACATAATCCCTGCCCTATAAAGATTATAACCTAGAGGTAGGAGAAAGGCAAAACAAAAGTAAGCAGTACATCTTCCAGTGTGCTGTAAATTAGTAAGCTTATGGGAGGGGGAAGCCAGGAGGAAGGTAGGAATTGTTGAGATATGAAATAGTCTAAACAAATCTTCATTGTTAGGGAACACAGGAAGGCCATACATATGGTTACCTGAGAAAAGCACACCTAAGTGGTGAATCAGAACGTGAAGAGGCCATGAGCTAGGGCATGCCTGACTATTCCAGGAACAACAAGGCCTAGTGTTGCTGGAACACAGTGGTGGGGGTGAGCTTCAGGACATTCTGAGATCAGCAAACAAACAGGCTCAGGTTTTGTAGGACTTCACATGTCATTGTAAGGACCTAGGATTTCACTCTGAGATGTGAATCCTCTGGAAGTTTTAGACAGAAAAGTGATATGATCTGACCTTTATTTGTAAAAAAAAGAAAAAAATTCTGGATGCTACATTGCAAATAGCCTCTATGGGGCAAGGATGGAAACAGCAAGACCAGTAAGAAGGCAATCACATTAAGGTGAGAAATGACAGTGATTTGGGCAAAGGTAGAAACTGTGAAGGTGATGAGTAGTAGCTGAATTCTGTATTACTGGATATAGTTTGAATATAGAGCCAACGGGATTTGATGATAGACTGAATGTAGAGTAAAAAGATGACGACAAGATATTTTTACAATGAGCAATTAGAAGAACGGCACTGCCGTTACCTGAGAGGGAGAAGGTTGCGTGTGGGGCAGGTTTCTGTGTGGTGAGTGAAAATCAAGAATCCTGTTTTGGACACGTAAGTTGGAGGTGTCATTTAGACTGAAGAGAAGATGCTGACAGGGTCAGCTGGCTATTGAATCCTGCAGTTCAGAAAAGAGATCCAGACTAGAGAGATTAACTTGGAGGTGTTAGTGTATAGAAGGTATTTAAAGTCACGAGACTGGATAACAACACCCATAATAGACAACACCAAGACAACAGATAAAGAGAAGTCCAAAGTCTTCATGGTCAACAAGGGAAGATTTAGTTGACTTTTTGAGTCAGCTAAATCTTGTATGCAAACAAAGCTCTAACCTGTAACACCCACATCATGCACACATCCTAAGGCACATCCAATTCTTTTTAAAAATAATAAATTAAAGGCCCATTTTTTAAATTCAAGGTCAAATCTACAACATTCAGAGCTACTGGTTCTTAAAATGCTTGCTTTCCTAAAATCTATTCTTTATTTTAACGATTTTCACCAGTAGTTGTTCCCTGTAACTCTAGCCACTTATTTTTTAATTCCTTTATTCCTGTTATTTCCTTGTAAAGTTTCACCTTTCTGTTTGGGAAACTGGTGGGGGAAATGTTGATTTGATTAATTTGCCTCAGTCACTGCTCATTTTAGTTACGGGGACAAAAAATGAAGCATAATATAACAAAATCCAATCAAGGCTAAAGTTTTACTGTTTTAATTTTTCTCACCCTCCTTCCTTCCTTTCCTCTCATTCCTTCCCACTCTTCATTTCTTCCTTTCTTCCTTCTTTCCTTTCTACCTCTTGTTTTTCTAAGCACATTCTTCAGTTCCCATACCAAGTTCATATTTCCAGGTCACAAACTTTGTCTTGATATTCACTTGAGTTTAGTGTGAAACTTTCATATCCAAAGCTTTTTTTCACATCCTCATCTGTAGAGTGTATGACTTTTATGGGATGGGGATATTTGGTGCACAAATAAGAATCAGATTAGATTTCTACTACTAGAATTTGGCTAGAAATAGCTGAAAATCTAATAAGCATATGCTTCTAAAGCTAAGTATCATCACTTAAAAATTTCAACACATTCATCTAACTTATAGTTAAGAATTGGAAACCAATTTTGTATTTTGTATTTCTGATAACATATGGACCCTTTTTATAAGAAACATGTTAAATGCTAAAAAAAAAAATACAGTGAATTAGTCCATAATCCCAGGGAGCCTGGTTTTATTCTAATACTCACCTGTATTTTTGCGCCAAGGTTTGGTCTTTCAGTATTGTTCTGGAGTTGATTGTACTAACTTGCTTTACAGGATGAGCTGGAGAGGAGATACTGATTTTATATTCATATATTCATATAATAAAACAATTTACAAAATAGGAATATGGAGGACTACACAAATTGGAGAGATTATTGAGTTCTAGATCCACAACTATACTAGAAGCATTTTTATTTTCTCCACTATTTCTGCTTGACTAAAATGTCTTATAATGACTTAGCAAAATTAACATTCCCTAACAAAAAAGTGCTACAGATAAATTCTTTTTTGGGTATTAGAGAGGGGCATTCACTTATTTTGGATGGTCCATAGAAGAGTTATTTCCCAAAATGAATACAACTCTAGACTTTATAAGAAAAGTGTAATTTCACCAAACCTTATTATACAAATGTGATTGCATATACAAATATATTACTATTGTGGAGATTAGTAAGAAATTGCAATGGAAGATTCCTCAAATCTTTCCTCTTCTTTCAAATGTTACTAATACTAATAACAGCTTCCTATGTGCCAAGCACTGTCTCAAAGGCGATAGATAGATGATAAACAGATAGATAGATGATAGATAGATAGAGATAGATAGATAGATAGATAGATAGATAGATAGATAGATAGATAGATAAATTCTTCTAATACTCAAACTACTCCTATGTGAATGCTATGGTAGTTATCCTTGTCCTTATTTTAGGAATAACATGATTGAGGCACTGAGAGTTTAAGCAGGTCACACAAACTAAGGTCATATACCCGGAATTACCAAAGACTGGGATTCAAGTAATTGTGAATTTGATGGTAAGCACCTCAGAGCTAGACAGATTTCTTTTTGTACTTTCTCACATTATGAAATTAAACTTCTTGAATTTCAGATTTTTTATCTCTAAGTGGAATTGAATCTGGAAATTTCTGGGGCCTCTTTTGTGAATTCTATGCTTTCTTATTTCTAGAAGTCAACATCTAGCTTGGTCATTCTCTGGCATGAAACAGAGGTAGCATGGGATCCAAATTCTGTCACTAACCTTTGGTTCTAACTTGAGCAAGAAACCTAATCTCTTTGTAAAATTAGGACCATCAGGAGGTTTTAAAGAGGAATAAGCGAATGTGAAACTTATGAATCTATTGACATTGTTAATACCCAAGACATACGAGCTCCCATCAGTATAATTAGTGTGTACAAGTATTAGCCTAGACTAATCTGTAAAATTTTTCTTCAGTTTTGCTGTTGTTATTTTAAATTTTATTTTAGACACAAGGGGCACATGTGTAGTTTTGTTACATGGGCATATTGCATGATGGTGAAGTTTGGGCTTCTGTTTAGCCTGTCACCCAAGTGGTGGGCATAGTACCCAAAGTGTGGTTTTTCAACCCTTGTCCCCGCTCCTCCCTTTAGAAGTCCCCAGTGTCTGTTGTTCCCATCCCTAAGTCGGTGTGTACCCAGTGTTTGGCTTCCACTTATAAGTGAGAATATGCCGTATTCAGTCTTTATCTTCAGTTTTCTTCCAAAACTCATTTCTAACCCTTGGCTGATCATCTTATATAACATTCCCATAAGATGAGACTCATAGATTTTTCAGAGGGAAATAGAATCTTAGAGATCTGACGTGTTGAAATCCAAACTTACCATAAACAGTACTTTTTACTGTTCATGTTATTTATTATCGACTTCAGCAATGAGAGTGAGAATGATTTGAGAAGAAGAAAACATGATTGAGTCATAAGCAGTTTGGGGGATAGGGGGGAGATACAACACACATTGTTCAGTTTCATATCCACCACCAGGAAACAACAGAACCAACTTGAGTCTTATATTCTATAAATGAGAAAGAAAAGAGTTAAGTCGTTTTTATGAAGACCCACATAGTTATTCAGTGAGAGAACTAGATCTCCGGGCTCATGACAACTGGTCCATTATTTTTCCCGCCACGTTGTGCTGATTTATATGATATTCCTCCTTTATCTGCAATTTCACTTTCCATGGTTTCAGTTACCCGTAATCAACTGTGGTCCCAAAATATTAAGTAAAAAATTCTAGAAATAAACAATTCATAACTTTTAAGCTGCATGTCTTTCTGCATGTGGTGATGCATTCTCACAGTATCCTGCTCCATCCTGCCTGAGACATGAATCATCACTTTGTCTAGTGTATCCATGTTGTAGATGCTCCCCACTTATTAGTCATCTATGAACCTTCTGGGTTATAAGATCACCTTTGTAGTATTTCAGTGCTTGTGTTGCAGTAGCCTTTATTTTACTTCATAATAGCCCTAAAGTTCAAGAGTAGTGATGCTGACATATGGTTGTCATTATCCTCTTTTATGATAAATTTTTGTTGTTAATCTCTTACCATGCCTAATTCACAAATTAAACTTTATCATAGGTATTATAAATAGAAAAGAAAACATAGTATGTACAGAGTTAGGTATTATCCACAGTTTCAGGCATCCACTGAAGATCTTCGAATGTATCCCTTGTGATAAGAGGAGACTATTAATACTCTAAGGGTAGCAACACATAAATTACCAAAAATTTTAAAATGGAAGGATTGTGTACCCTTCAAAGGATTTTTTGAGCAGACTCACAACCAAAAAGGATGAATTACAATATTAAAATGATAGATCACAGGGTGATTTTAAAACTGGGAACCACACTTCTCCCTCTCCCTGCCAGGTAATTCCTTTCTCCTAAATCTCAGCAAAAATGACCTCATACAGAATTTACCTTTTTCTTAATACCTATACAAATAAGAAAAAGTAATTCCCCACAGGGATAGGCCTGCATCTAACTCTGTGGAACCAGAGAAAGAGTATAAAGACTCACGTGTCATGTTTCTAATTATTTAAAAGCTATAGATGAAACTAAAGGCTCTATCTCTTATTCCAACAAATATACCTTCACACCTACCTGGAAGGCAAAGTCTAAATGAGAATGGAATCCTGAGACTTCCTCTGGGGGACATGGCAGTCCTTGGTGCAGTGGTCTCAGTCAAAGCTTCTGTTTCCCTAGCTCAATTTGGTACCATAAGAAGCCCTGCACATCTCTGAGAGAACTAGATCCCAGGGCTCGTGACAATTGGACACCTCAGCTCACATATCCAGGATCTGCCCACCCCAACTCCAATTTGAAAAGCCTGTCAGGCCAGAGAATGGTGTATTCAAGCAGAGTAGCCTGTCTTTGGGAGGGTAGACCTGAGGAATGATAGCCCAAGTCCCAGGAGTACCTGGGCTATCTTTGAGAATATCTCTGAGGCAGAGAATTCTAGGACCTGAGTAGTACCTGGAGTGATTAAGAAGGGGAACAATCCCTTTGTCTCTTGGTTAGAGAACCAGGCAGAGAAGGGTAGAGTGGGAATTCACTCAGCATACAGAGTGCAGGACCAGGTTAGTTTGAATCTATTGTTTAATGGTGTATTGGATATCATCAAAGTCCATTTTTGCCTTGCTATCTATGATAGCTAAAGAAATCACCTAGACAGGGCTAAATTTTTACAGATTATTTATCATTATCTATCTATCCAGTATTTATTGTAATTTTATTAATGCCTTTTTTAAACAAGAGTTTATATTTTTTATCCAGTATTTTTTTAAAATCAAAAATATGCACTTTCAAAAACATAGTATGTTTCTAGTACACAATATTTTCTGCTTTTCATCTTCCCAAATGTTAACTGAAAAAAGACAGAAATACTGAGGTAATTAGGGAAAAGTTCAAATTACATTTTTCTAACTTTGGCCTATTTCTGATGGTGAGTTGGCAAAAGTTATTAATGTCATCCCAACTTCAAGACTATTATAACTTTTAATCTGTTACAGAAGAAGGCTCATGTACATAAGAAGTTATGCAAATGCAGAAAAAGTGGAATTTTGTTTCCCAAACTGGAGATTTAAACAACAATAAACTCCAAAAGATATACTGTCTATATTTTATGCAAATTAAACATTGACCTTTAAACTTATACCTTACCTGCTTTGGGAACGATATTGTCCAAGGATACAATCTGTATTTCCTGTGACTTTAAAAATAGCCCAAAAAAGAGACACTAGCTAATAGCATTCCAAATAATCCTGTTGAATCCTGAGGTCACACAAATCCAGATTCACCTGTTTAACGAGCACCCGCTGAGAACCTGCTATTTGCCTACCATGAAGCAAATAGAGGTAATGGCAGACCACCTATTCTATCCAGTCAGTGGAGGCACTTCTAGATTTCTTTTTCCTATACATGAAGCATAAATTATTTCTTAGCCTGAATGAGAGGCAAGGAATCATTTTAATCAGCTGCTAGCCATTAAAAGAGGAAGTGCTTCTTTTGTTACGAGCGGCTACTGCACCTGGTGATACATCAAATAATTTAGAATGCATCTACAAATAGAATACTTATAATCTTAGGAAGAAAAACAAAGAATAAAAATGTGGTACATAACTAATGAGTGCTAGTTTAGGTCCCAAAGAAAAACATATCAGTAAATGGTTGTTTTTTTTTTTTTTATTTCATGGCATTAAAATAATAAATTGTACTAATCTTGCTAAAAACCAATTTCATAGTATGACCTTTATATCTAGGCAAAGTATAAAGTGAGTCAATGGATACAAGTTCATTTAGAAAATACTGAGAAATAGCTCTATATTTCTTCTTTTACCATGAAATTATAAAATAGTTAGTTTTACAGTTCGTTTTTAGTTGTGCTATAAACTAACTGTAGTGATGTTCTGAATAGAATTAGGAAAGGGGTCATGATATGATAGCCTACATGATAAACCATCTATAAATGTAAAAAGAGCTATGACTCATCATCCAACTTCCAGAGTAGGCAAGGACTGTGAAATATTGAGTCGATGCTGGATTTCAAATATCCCTTTGTCCTACACATTAGGTAAGAACTTAAACACTTCATTTATTTTTTAAAATTCTGAGTCTTTTTTTTTAAGAAAGAAAAATTTATTTAAAAGTAAATTAGCGAGAGAAAGAGAAAGAAGAGAGAAGATTCACCTCCCCAAGGTGGGACAGGGTGAACAAAGCCAAGAAGCACGGCAACAGCCAAGGCT